GGCCTCTCTCATCTTTTTAAGTGGGAGAACTTGCACAATTGGTGGCTGACTAAATACTTTTTTGCCCCACTGTATGAAGCCTGGCAGCCAGAAATGGATCATGACATTTTGCTGCTCAAACAAGAACATCCTACTCTTCCCTTGATAATGTAACCCTAAACTAAATCCTTGTTCATTTGCTATGCTTTAATGAAGCCATGAGTTCAATCACATGAGATAGTTCATCTATCCAGTTTAACAGCCTCCAGTTTAACAAGACCAATTTTGAGCCCACACATTTGAGGATCAGCAAGCAAATGAAGTAAATTGCTAAATGTTGCAGAGCTGCAGTGGCTTGAAGGCAGAGGATAAAAAAAGTCAGTTTAGTGACTTTTTATGAATTCAGGGTTGTGAAAATATCACTGCACAAAAACCAGCTATTTGCAATGCTGATTTACAAAATACAAACATACATTCAAATCCGACGACTGACCGAAACTATCAGATTTCAGTTTGAGTTTAATCTGCAATCTACATGAATGTGATTATTTTGCTGTACTACTGAAACATAACATGTCTACATAAACTTATTAGAAAGACCACTCATAGTTCTCTCTCATTCCCATAATTAGGTTACCTCAGCATAATCTAACTCTCCTAAAGTTCAAACAAAACAGGGTTGGATCCAGATTTTGTTATATTTAGAAATGAATGGGACTTATTACAACTAAATTAAGCTTCACTTATGACTAAGCCTGATTTCAACTCATGGAATTCAAAATAAATGATAAATGTAAATTTAAGCCATGTTTTAAACAAGTACTCAGGAAATTCATTTTCTACTAAAATGATATATACCTTCTTTCTCCTCAGCTTCCTCTTTACAATGCTGTCTCTCTCCAATGGTTTCTTTTTCTTTATCCTGAGATGCAGAAGTTGTCTCAGTCTCTTCTACCATTGCTGAGCAAGCTTCATGGGAACCACTCTGGTTGGAAGTCTCTTCAGCTTCCTCCTCTTTGTCAAATTTAAGTCTTTTTACTTCATATCCTTCCATTTCTGCTGGATCTTCTCCAGGGTGTTTATTTTTTACAGGACAGTTTTGGACTCTTTCAGGCTCAGATGCTGGTGATTCACTGAAGGACAAAAAATGATGGAAACACAAACACTCATATTTTCATATGAAGAGAGTATTGCATCTTAAGGAATCAATCTTGTTGATCATGGTAACTTCTATTGCTTTGCCTAAATGTAACTTTATTAAATTTCTAGGTATAAACGAAGAACCTATTCTTGTAATGAGGTATAGAAGACAAGAACAAAATGTTGGTGCAAAACCAACTGTGCCAGCACCACCATTCCAGTTCAGCTGGGAAATCTGGTTCTTAATAATCAATGGATGCAAGCCAGCATCCCACAAACAAGGTTTTTGCTTGCACAATAAAATTATCTCCCTCTCCCTTTGCCCTCTGCCAAATCTCTACCCAATTTTTAAGAACACAAGGGGATATAGGAAACTGTCATTTCTCAGTTCCACATCAGCAGAAAAAAAGACTTTAAAATGTCATCAGCATTTAATTTCCCCTAACAGATATGATCTAAATATTCACACCAATTTTAAAGGTAACAACTAAGGTACTCTGGGATATTTATACACAGCCCTACAGGATCCCAACATAACAATTATTTATGCATTAAGACTTTCTAAAATAAGAAAGGAATTGTCCATGCCTACAAAGAATCTGTGCCTTAAAAGAGGATGTGCTTATTTCCATTTTGGATAGCATGTTTTTCAAGTGCTCAACAGAAAATACTTTCTCTAAATGTGGCACATTCTGGTAGGAATAACACATAAGTCTGCTTTCAAGGGAGGATGGAATTAAAAAAAAATAAAAATTATGTGAATCTCAAGAGTCTAACAAATGTCTTTAAAGTTATGTTTCTTTTACAAACCTGTTAATTTTCTCCTCAGTTTGCAGGAGACCTAGCTCCTTATTTTCGGAACTGTCTGGTAAACCATTTGTTGTCATAGGAGGTGACAAAGAAACTTTTGGCCGCGTTACAGGCCGGGGTGTTCCAGGACCATTTATATTAGATCTGCAAAGAAAATATTTGATTAATCAATCATATTTGGAAAGTCATATTTCCCTTAGATCCCAATATATGCTTTCTTGACTTGTATTTTATAAAGATCTGTAGCTAAATATAAGATTCTTTTGTATCAGAAAGATACTTGAGATTTAAACATATTTGATTGCATTAAATCAGATTTATAAAAAAAATTATAAATTGGCTTTTTCCCCCAGTTAATTTTAGCAGCTTTATAATTAAAGTATTATAGTGTAACTTAGATAATCTAGTTTATAAATATTTGGAAAAGCATTTACTCTGAAAAATATATAGTTTCTATAGAAGAACTATAACTTTAGCATAGGAAATGATCTGATTCAAAGACTTTGAATTATGCTTAATATCTAGGTGTTTAAAAAATGAACGCTGGAAATTAAATACTACTCCATCATCTTGTATTGTTTAGAACAGTTGTTCCCAACCTTTCCTATGCCCCACACCTCTAGGAAATGTTTGATTAATGTTCGTACCTCCTACAAAAGTAATATCACATTTGAAGAAGTCTAATTTCTAATGCAGGTGAACAAATTGAACTTTAAAAAAACAAGCTTTTAAGTCAGTGCATAAAATTGTCACAGCCTCTGAAATTCTATCTCGTACCCCCTGGGGGTGCGGGCACCCCAGGTTGGAAACCCCTGGTTTAGAATATTATTGTTTTAAGCACCTCTTCTTACCTGTCTGAGTAACCTGGTGAGTTTCCTGGAAACATTACACCATTCATCCTGTTTAAACTGTTGGAATTATTTTTCCTACAAAAAATGAACATGAATGATGAATGATGAGATTTCTCCAATATAGTTTTTAAAAAACATTTTGGCTAAGAACAAATACTTCCAGATTCCTAAAACTTTGTTTCTGTTCTTTTCCCTAAAATTCATATAATTCTAATCTCGTTATTAGGGAGAGCCTACTATGTTTATTCCCCCCCCAAAAAATACTGAATAAAAACTATACAACTATACAAAAACACAACTGTATACTAGGAACAAAAACACTTTATTTTTTACCAGCTAATATACTTTCTTGCCTCTAGTTCCTCCTTCCATTCCTGAAAATACTCTATTAAAAATTAAAGACCATGGATAATATATAGGTAGTCCTTGTTTAGCAACTGCCTCATACAATGACCATTCGCAGTTACATTGGTGATGAAAAAGTAACTTTGTGATCAATCCTCACATTTACGACCTTCACAGGTCTGTAAAGCAAAGGAAAGATGAAGTAAGATCGTAAGCATAGTCACGGTTTCACATAGCAACTGCCTTGCTTCACGACCGAGTTGCCAATCCCAATTATGGTCACTAAATGAGGAATACCTGTGAACCCTTTTCATTTGTCAGTTCTCTAAGAATTCCTTATCAATTTATATTTGAAACAAAATATGTTTTATAGCATAGATAAAATATCCCAGATTGTAGACATAGAATTGTAGAGTTGGAAGGAACTACAGGATCATCTAGTCCAATCCTCTGTAATATGCAGAGAATCCAATTAAATCAACCATAAGAGGTGGCAGTCCAGCTACTTCTTAAAAATCTATAGAGACTGAAAACCCACAACTTGCATAAGTAGACTGTTCTGTTATTGTACAGGTTTTAGTGTCAGGAGACTTTGCCTTATATTTAAACAAAATCTAGGTAGCTGCAACTTATACCAACTATATCTGGTCCTAGTTTCCATGACCATGAAAAATAGTTTTCGGCCATCTTCTCTTTAGCTTCCCTTTATGTACTGGAACACAGCCATCAGATTTTCCTTAAGACTATAGACGGAGACCATAATTCATTCTCTCAATCAGAAGAAGGCCATAGGTGATGTCCCTAGATGGCTGGTGAATCACAGAAAGGGGCAGGGCTGATTTTTCATTTTGGGCAGGATTAAAGATACACAGAGCTCGTTCCTCAAATTTCTGCAGCATTCTCTGGGTATGGCAAAAATGAAGCAGCTCTGTTATAAAGCAAAGGCCTTGATCCTTCCCCCCCCCCCCCCCCCCCCC